TTAAGTTTTGGATGGAAATTGTGGAGAGTATTGATCTTTAATGTTGAAAGAAGTTGTGATGATTTAAATCCAAACACTTTATTTACTTATTGATTTGGTCAATCCATATGTTAAAATTTGTTGTGAAAACATGTAAGAACCGGTCTGCTATTGTCTCAGTCAACAATTGGAAAGAATCACATGAGGTTGTATGAATGAGAATGTAGTTCATATGATTGAGTGCAAGTAAATAGGAAAAGATTCATTGATGGGTGTAGAGTTAGAGGACTTTAAAGTGATAGGTTAAAGGCCCCAACTTGGTTTATTGTTTTAGGTTCTGATATGAGCCTCCAGGTGGAGGGAATTGAGGGAACTCTAGAGTGAGAGCTAGTATCTTCCTTGCCTAACCGGTCTTCAGAACTATTCAAACTTTAAATTAACCAATGTTCTTTATAGCAACTCTAGTAAGGGTAAATAATATTATTGCTCATATTTGACATAACACAATTTGCATACTTCCACAACAGAATTCATATACTTATTATTGATTTGTAATAAGAAGAAAGATATTTTTCTTATTAAGCATTTTTCATCTACAAAACTCTAGTTATCTTTTTAAGTTGTTACCGTTTTGTCAAAACATCAAAAATACCAAAAATATTTACATTTTTATTACTGCAAAATAGATTCAGTTTAAGTAATTATCTTTTTAAAAATAGAAGTATTCTAAAAGTGCATATTGTATAAATTTCCTGTGGGTTCGATATTCAAGTCTTAATCAAAAAGTCTTATATTACTTGATAACGATACGTATACTTGCGTAGTATCCCAATATATATAAATTAAAAGTTAAATTCTTATGTTTCTTCAGGATCAAGTTTTTGGTTTTGTTGCAAAGTAAATTTAAGTGAAATATAATCTGAATTATTATTGTACTTTGCATGTTAGCAATATCAATGGATCAATGTTGCAAAGTAATAATGCACCCTGAAGACGGTGTAACGATCCATTCGAATATGGTGCAACGACACATACCACAACAAATATTTATGACTGCCTTAGAATATGATGACTTTTTCTGAACTCCTAAAGCTATCTTCTCACAACTCACAACTATGACCTATGTGACCAACTTCGGCTTAAGTGGTTCACAACTTTTGCACCTCCAACTTCAATTTTTACGACCTACGAACGTCATTACAACTTCTCACCATAGCCTACTTAATCAACTGCAACTTGTGTGGTCCATAACTCGTGCAGCTCCCAACCCCAACCTTCGTAATGTGTATATATTATCACAGCTCGTGCTACTCCCAACTCTAACCTATATGACCTACAAACATTATCACGACTCACCAATATGGCCTACATGACCAACCATTACTTATGAGGTCTAAAAGATCCACCACTCATGCAGCGCCTAACTCTAGCCTCGACTGCCTTTGGACGTCATTATAACTCCCCACCACGACCTACTGACCTAGTACAACATATGTGGTCTACTTCTTGTACAACTCCCAACTCTAGCATGTGGTAAATGAGTTTTATCACACCTCGTGCAGCTTCCAACTTTAGCCTCTATGGACTGTGAATATTACCACAGCTCACCACTAGGGCTCATGTGAAAAAATTATGGTCTACATATTCCACCACTTATGCAACTCCAAACTCTTGCATTTGTGGCCTGCATATGTCATTACAACTCCTTGCATCAGCCAACTTAACCAAATATGTCATATGCGGTCCATATCTCATGTAGATCCAATCTTTGACCTCTTTGACAAACCTACATTATCTTAGTTTATGGAGCTCCAAACTCAAATCTCTACAATCTATGTTGAAGGGAAACCAACACTACAATCTCAAAAAGTCATTGACATTAAAATCTCAGACAGGGTTGTGGTTGGGTAGTCATCCCGCGCCTTATTTAGACATCATCTTTGAAAATCACTTATAGATTGGGGTGGGGGGTTTTAAGTTTGTTGATGATCATAAATATCTCAAATATTTATTTTCTTAAGTAATCAATCAAATGCAACATCAAAAGAAATATATCATCTCGAAAAATAGAAATATCACTTTATGATAGATTCAATTATTAAAATAATTTTTTTTTTACGTTTGTTATATCTATGTTTAAGCCAACAAATCTTTTTTCTTACCAAATCTAAAGATTATATATAATTTAGATTAATCTGGTTAATTTTTTCTTATAAAGGCAAGCTTTTATATTTAATTACATCTTAAAAAATAAAACTCTTTAAGAAAATTCTTGATTAAGGTTGTGATTTTTTTTTTTTTTTTTCTAAGTTTTGGTTTCTACAATTGATTATTAAAAATTTCAAATGAGAATGCTTGAAAGTGGAACAGTTCTTGACTGACCCAAGAGAAGAGAAGTGGTAAGTGTCGAAGATACAGAGAAGCTCAGTGACTCTTCAATTATCCTATTATTTGGCTTTATTGATTTGAGATTAAAGAGATTTTTATTATTTCAATTGGCATTCTATTAGAATGTTAGGACTCATATCACATGATATATGATTGTGAGAATGCATGGAAGGTGAGAATTTTTGTCCCAACTAGACGAACAACATCAAAATCATAGGATTAAGTGTGAAGTTTACTGAAAAAAGTATAAACTTGGAACCTAGTCTTAAAAGAGAGAGAATTTAACAAACCAAGAGACTTATAGTTTAATCCTACAAAGGATCGAGCATGCCCGAAATAGCTAGACTTACAATCCTGCCTAGAAAGGGTTGTCATCTAAACTCATATATTCATGACAAAATCATGCATGACCGGTCTCATGAAGTCAAAATGTCTAAGCACGAATTGTATGCAAAAACTTTAATGCTAATGCATACATATTTTTTGCAACCACCTAAGTTTACTACATTTTTCTGCAAAACAGAGTTAGCACACACTATAACCCTTGCAAAATAAAGTATGCAAAACATAACACGTAATGGAAATTTCACAGTGCAAAAATGCATAAAGAAAGACTATTTACTTGTTATAGCATCTAGTTTAGCAACGAAAACTCACCCTAACCAAACATGTCTAACTATCAAATAAAACAAGCATAAAGAACAAACACAACAAAAATACATCAACTTCACCCCAACCAAATCCTAAAACTAGGATTAATATTCTAAGGGAATCTAAAGGAGATGTATGAAT